GTAGAATTCTATAGTTTTAATAAATTTCAAAGACCATTTTGCTTTACTTGATGCAAAATAAAAGCTGCCAAGTGTTTTATGAACAGTATTGTTGACAGGTTTGTTCAGCACTCTACCTGAATGAGTCCTGCAGGCCATTTGGCCATTTTTTTTTTTTTTTTTTTTTTTTTTTTTCAAAAAACAAAGTTTATTGAAAACAAGATACAAGTGATCACACGAAAATGTACAGATGAAGTGTACATAGGACATACAGCAAAGCATGTATCATACAAAGGTAAATGAGGTCCAACGCAAAACCAAACAGTGTGGATGAACTAGGCCACGACAGGGTTGTGCCTGTAATATTTAGGTAGGCTTGACAAGTGCTAAAAAGAAAGAGACGTTTGGCCTCCTACCATATTGTCTTGCGGTAAAAATCTGTAGGGGGAAGACAAGCAAATACGATACCTAAGTAGAAGTCAATACTACAGAATACGATGATGGAATTGTGCGAATGTAGGAGTAATTGTCGTGGGGAACCGCTGACGAATTGCGGGAGGTGATGCTGACCACCTACTCAATGTTCTATTGGAAAAATTGTCCGAGACGTGTGTAAGCATATGAAAAGAAAAAGACAAGAGAAGGCGAGAAAAAAGGGAAAGAAAGAAAAAGAGAGAGAGAAAAAAAAAAAAAAAAAAAAAAGGGGGGGGGGGGGAGGGAAGGGGGGAGGGAGGAAGGGAAGCAAATATGGAGGGTAAAATAAGAGAGGGGACAACTGTCAAAAAATATCTTATCCTCAATACAAACAGTAACGGGAGTGGGTGGAACATACGCTTTCATCGGCGTCGAAAGAATGCGCATGTAACACAGGGGGGAGTATGACAGCACCCTCAGGTCAAATACTACTAAATGACACTATCGAGAAGTCCATATCAGGTTCAGACAGGCTGGTCCATGAGGGATCGATACTCCGGGGTAGTCAGAAAATGGGTCCAACAGGCCCATACGTGAGAGAATTTCGTAGGAGTGTCGAGAGCAGTCGCAACCAGTTCTTCCATGTCCACCGTTTTACCCACTCGGGTGAGCCATTCACGTATAGAGGGAGAGCGAGTGGAGCCCCACAGAACCGGAATACAGAGTCTGGCTGCGTTGATCATGTGCATGGCTAATGATTTAAAGTACTGAGCCCTGGGAAGGGAAGAATGATGGAGGAGGAATTGAGCAGGAGAGAGAGCTAAGGGTAAGGTACTTATAGACACTACTAACCTGTGGACCTCCTGCCAAAATGGTTGAAGAATCGGGCAAGACCACCAAATGTGAAGAAAGGACCCATCCGGAGTCCCGCATCTCCAGCAGCTGTTGGGGAAGGCGGGGTTAAAATGATGAATTCTTGAAGGAGTTCGGTACCATCTAGAGGCTATTTTGTAGCTGTTTTCTTGTGTCGAGACATTGAGGGAACATTTATGAGAGTATTGGAAGACCAGGTCCCAGTCTGAGTCCGACAGCTCAGCATTAAGATCTCTCCTCCAAGCCCGACATGCGGGGAGGGAGTCATAAGACCGGCTCTCCACTAGAAGTGGGTAGATCTCCGAGATCAGATGTTTCCGCGGTTCAGCCTTCGCGCATGCAGATTCAAATGGGGTAAGAGAGCGATGCCAGTTATGAGGGGGTTTATGAGAGAGCAGATAATGTCTGATCTGGAAATATACCCAGAAAGGGAATTCGCGAATACCCAGGCTTTCTTGCAATTCTCGGAGTGTTTTCACCTTGCCCTTGCGGAGAAAATGTTTCACTAAGAGCTGTTTGTGTGGCCAATGTTTCATTAAAAAGTCTTTATGCATGCCAGGGGGAAAGTCAGGGTTGAGGCGTATGGGGGTCAGGGGGTTGGGTGTGCCAGAAATGGCTGCAGATCTACAAGCCGAACGGAAAATTTTTAACTTAGGTCCCACCAAAGGATGGGTGAGAAGAACTTGTGGCGTGTGTTTCGGCGAAAGCCAAGGAATCGATGCCAGGGGGAAGGGCGAGCAAGCATTCTCTATAGATATCCAGTCTTTAGAGGCAGTGTGAACGTGCCAATCAACTATCCGGGAAAGATGACACGCCCAATAGTAGCGGTAAAGATCAGGGAATCCTATACCCCCTTTAAGTTTAGAGAGGGTTAATTGGGAGTAGGCAATACGCGGACGTTTGTGGCTCCAAAGGAACAGTGAACACAGTCTTTTGCAAGAAGCAAAGAAAGCAGGAGGTAAGTGAATTGGTAATGTTTGGAAGAGATACAGGAGACGGGGAAGTACATTCATTTTAATGATCGCTGCCCTTCCAAACCACGAGAAACAAGGACGGTGCCATTTATTGAGGTCTTCTTGCATAGAGCGAAGAGCGGGAAGAAAGTTTTTCATGTAAAGGTCATCAAGGTTGCTGGTGAGCTGGATACCAAGATAAGTTAGGGAATCCCTTTCCCAGTGAAATGGGAATTGGGCCTCACAAGCAGAGACTAGCTCCGCAGACAAAGTAATGTTAAGGGCGGCAGATTTGGAAAAATTAATTTTAAAATTCGACAAATATCTGAAAAGGGCAAAGTCTTTCAGTAGGTTTGGAAGAGTGATGTGAGGGTCCGCCAGGAACAAAAGAATATCATCCGCATAAGCTGCAAGCTTATATTCCTTATCTGTCACCGTGATTCCTTTAACATCAGGGTTTAAACGAATTTTCCGCAACAGGGGCTCAAGGGATAGGACAAACAAAAGCGGGGAGAGGGGGCATCCCTGACGTGTACCGTTCCGTAAGTGAAAGGAGTTGGACAGATGGCCGTTCACCCGGACCCGGGCAGTAGGGGCAGAATAGAGGGCCATGATAAAGTTGAGCATCTTCTCACCCAAACCCAGTCATTTGGCCATCTTTAGCCTGGTGCAGTCAGTTAACAGTGGAGTATTAATTTAAAGTGGAATTCTGCCTTTAGAAGTGTAGCAGGAAAAATGAATCCTATCTGTGACTGCTGTAATCTGCTGACTGGCATCTCCTGTGTAACCTGACACTTGCACTGAACACAGACAAGGCAGTGAGGGATTTCAGCCCCCTTTTCTCCTCTCAGACTGTAACAGAGAGAGAGAGCCAATCAGAAAAGCCATTAAAGGAGCCAATGACAGGGACTTTCTCAAGCAGGAAGTGCAGCTGCAAAGCATTGTGGAAGATGCAGTCTTGAACAGAAACGGCCTGATAGGCTGATATGGCAATAGAACTACAAAATAACTATAAAAGCCATCATGCTTAAGGAGAGCAGAGTGAAGGGATCCATCTTGTGTTTTCCTGAGAGAGGACAGTCTGCATGTGGCAAGGAAACAGTCTGGACCAGGGGCGGACTGACCATTTGGAAACTCGGGCACTGCCCAAGGGCCCGGGGTCAGTAGGGGGCCCCATGAGATGCCCCTGGTACCTTTTTCATAGGCTTTTTTAAGTTTGGGCAAGAAAACAGGGGCCCCATGATCCCCTATTGCCCGGGGGCCCCATGAGTTGTCAGTCCGCCCCTGGTCTGGACCTGGCAAAGAAGTGCTTAGGGTCAGTTCATAGCATGCTGAGTCAGGGGAACATCCAAGCTCAGAGATGTGGACCTACAATACAGAAGCGCTCATCGTGAGGTGACCAGAGGAGCCTGTCATTTCCAGGATGATCGTTTGGGTCTTAGTCACAGGATCTGGTGAGAGGGATTTTTCCCACTGTCAGATGACAGGAACGCTGCACACATACAGAGACATTACACTTGCCCATACTCACCAGGGACTGGGTTGTGTAGATGGCCCTGCTAAACAGACACAGTGTTTGCTTTGCTATACAAATACCACCATGGGTTTACAATTACACTTTACCATAGGAGTTTAAGTGCACCAATGAAAGTGGCTAGCTGAAGATCCCAAGATTCATCCTGTTACCAAGAGACTGAAGTTACTGGTGCCATACGGGGCGCGCGCATGCGTATCCAGGTCTTTATATTGCATGGTATGTGAGGGAATAGCTTTACCTTGGAAAGTATCTATTAAGCATCAGTTGGGTACAGTGTTTGCCTACTGGGCTTGTGGTGTCAGGGGTTGGAAGGGAGAAGTTTGACACAACAGAGAGTCATTCTTCTGCTCTCCTCCAGCTTGGACATCATAGAGCCAAATTTATGTACATGGATTTAGACCCACTTTGAGGTTGCCATTTAAGTGTTTCCTCTGCTCTTGGGGTTATTCACGGTTGGAATCCCCTGAAAGCAGCCTGAGTGTAAAAGTGAGTTATATTGCTTGCGGTCACAGTATTTGCTGTTCTCTTGATTCACCCAACGAATACCTGTTGTTAATGTTTATTACTTCCCATAGAAGTCTTACAGTAAAGCTGATCTCTGTGTTTTATTATAAAGTGTGTGCTTTTCATTGGTCCTTGCACTTACACTATTGCCAGGTGTGTCAGTTGGGCCTGAGACAATTCTTGGGGTTGAGAGGCAGAGTGGCGGAGTAAACAAACCTAAGCAGCCCCTTCGGGGGTATCGCTACAGAAGGTTTTGAGGAATAAATGCAGTGATGGCAATATCATTTCACTTCTATGTTCTCAGCTTTAATACACTTTACCTTCATCTCTGATTCTGATTTCACCATTCTGCCCTCCCCTCTGCACAGCACTGAAGCCATCAGACTACGTTTCTAGTAAACATACATAGTATCAGGTTTACATTACGTAAAAAAACAAGGCTAAGAAGGGCCTTTTGGCTTGAAAATAGGTCTAGGATAGTTTAACCACTAGCCTACAGGGCACTTATACCCCTTTCCTGCCCAGGCCAATTTCCAGCTTTCAGCGCTGTTGCACTTTGAATGACAATTGCGTGGTCATGCAACACTGTACCCATATGAAATTTTTATCATTTTTTTGTGACAGATAGAGCTTTATTTTGGTGGTATTTAATCACCTCTGGGTTTTTTATTTTTTTCTTAAACAAACCAAAAACCACTGAAAATTTTGAAAAAAAAAAACATTTTTTCTTAGTTCTTGTTATAAAATTTTGTAAATAAGTGATTTTTTTCTCCTTCACTGATGTGCGCTAATGAGGCTGCAGTGATGGGCACTGATAGGCTGCACTGATGGACACTGATAGGTGGCACTGATGGGCACTGATGAGGAGGCACTGGTAGGTGGCACTGATGGGCATTGGCAGGCATCACTGATGGGCACTGAAAGGCAGCACTCATATATGGCACTGATAGGCGGCACTGATAGCTGGCACTGACTGGCACTGATAGGCGGCACTGACTGGCACTGTTAGGTGGCACTGAAGGCACTGTTAGGCGGCACTAATAGGCAGCACTGACGGGCACTGATAGGTGGCACTTATGCACACTGATAGGTGGCACTGACTGGCACTGATAGGCAGCACTGACTGGCACTGATAGGTGGTACTGGTTGGCAGCACTGATAGGTGGCACTGACTGGCATTGATAGGTGGCACTGACTGGCACTGATGGGTGACACTGAAAGGCAGCTCAGATGGGCACTGATATGTGGCATTGATGTGGCACTGATGGGCACTGAAATGTGGCACTGATGTGGCACTGATTGGCACTGGCAGGTGGCATGGATGAGCACTGAGAGCTGGCACAGATGGACACTGACAGGTGGCGCTGCTGGGGCTACACAGATCATCAGGGCACACTGATCATCAGTGCTCTGATGTTCTGTGTACATGTTGATTACCGGCTCTCCTCTCCTCTCGAGCTGTCAGCGTGACAGGTCGTGAGGAGAGAAATGCCTATAACCGGTATTTCCCTATTTACATGTGATCAGCTGTGATTGGACACAGCTGATAACATGTCCAAGCTGACATATTCGGCTCTTTCCGTGGATTGGTGATCCGCTGTGTCCGAGGGACACAGCGCACCGCCGATCGCCACGCTGTGTGCTCCGGGAGCCGCGCATGCGCGGTTAGAATGGGAGGACGTCATATGATGTCCTCCCAGAATGAAAGAACCACCTTGGGTCCGTCATATTACCATATGACGGGCGGGAGGCAGTTAAAGAAGAAGCTCCCATAACCCTCAGGCACCAGTTCATTGGGCACAATTCACTAAAGCTTATCGCATGATTTAATTCAGTCACATGACCACATATCGCATACAATACTGAAAATGTCAATTCACTATTGCTAGTATGTGGTATTTACTGAAAATAGCAAAAAGAAGGAGAATAAAGGAATGTCCCCCGAAGTAGATCCAATGTCAATGACCGTATACTACTGTTCAACATCTCTGCCATTGGAACTGCATTCTGTGAACACATCTTTGTACATCATACTGTGGACAACATGCAATACTCACTGTCAAAAAAAGGGCGCAGGTACTTGTTGTATCCTTTCATTAGCTTCTGAATTGTTGGGGGAAGAATCTCTCCATCACCTTTAACAGTAGAGCTGTACAAGATGCTGGTAGCAATGAGGAAAGAGAAAAGGTGCACACATTATTCTCTATACAAATATAAACAGACGTATTAACTAAGGCACAACTAAGTGCAGTTTCCCATGGTAATCAGCAAATCAGTTTTCCATTTACAATGCAGATCAGAAGGTCAATTGCAGGTCAATTGCACCTGTCAATGAATTCTCAATGTGTCCCAAACTGATGACACAAGCCTCAAGTGCGTTGACACAGGCCCTTAAGAGATTACTTGTAGCTGCTTTGGGTAACTGCTCTTTGGTTTGATTTGGACAAACGTACTAAATAAGCCTAAAATTACACTACGCTGCCAAATAATTACATGGAAGTGACAAATGGGTTTTGTAATTAGGAAAGAGGTAGATTTTTGCCTAAACCTACAATACACATGGTAAGTCAACTTTCCAAAGCATTACAGTTAGAGATGAGCGAATTATTCAAAAATTCGATTCGGCTGATTCGGCGAATTCGCGGAATAAATTTGATTCGAGTCGAATATATTCGCTGCGAATTTAACTTATAAAAAGGGTGTTTCTAGGCTTCAGAGAGCCTTTATATTAGTGCAGAACACTGTACCTTTAATTTAAATGCCCTTGGAGTCTGCTGGGGAAGAGAAATAATACTGTCAGTCAGTATGACATGCAGATGAGTGCCGTCGATCTTAGAATCACCGCACACTTCACTCATTTGGGCAGTCACGGGGCCAAAACCAGAGTGTGGAGCCACAGTGTGGCGGTGGAGGCAGCAGCAATGGGAGGCCATACAGCACCCTATGAAAAAATGGAACCCACCAGCAGTGTGAGGAGACCTGAAAGTGGCACATGGCAGAGTGTGGCGATGGAGACAGCAGCAATGGGAGGCCGTACAGGGACCCATGACACACTCTGGACCTGGCAGCAGCATGAGGAGGCGGTACAGGGGCCCATGACAGATTACGGGCCTGGCAGCAGCATGAGGAGTCGGTACGGGGGCCCATGGCAGATTACGGGCCTGGCAGCAGCAATGGGAGGCCCGTAATCTGCCAGCACCCTATGACAAAATGGAACCCACCAGCAGTGTGAGGAGACCTGAAAGTGGCACATGGCAGAGTGTGGCGATGGAGACAGCAGCAATGGGAGGCCGTACAGGGACCCATGACACACTCTGGACCTGGCAGCAGCATGAGGAGGCGGTACAGGGGCCCATGACAGATTACGGGCCTGGCAGCAGCATGAGGAGTCGGTACGGGGGCCCATGGCAGATTACAGGCCTGGCAGCAGCAATGGGAGGCCATACAGCACCCTATGACAAAATGGAACCCACCAGCAGTGTGAGGAGACCTGAAAGTGGCACATGGCAGAGTGTGGCGATGGAGACAGCAGCAATGGGAGGCCGTACAGGGACCCATGACACACTCTGGACCTGGCAGCAGCATGAGGAGGCGGTACAGGGGCCCATGACAGATTACGGGCCTGGCAGCAGCATGAGGAGTCGGTACGGGGGCCCATGGCAGATTACGGGCCTGGCAGCAGCAATGGGAGGCCGTACAGGGACCCATGACACACTCTGGACCTGGCAGCAGCATGAGGAGGCGGTACAGGGACCCATGACAGATTACGGGCCTGGCAGCAGCATGAGGAGTCGGTACGGGGGCCCATGGCAGATTACGGGCCTGGCAGCAGCAATGGGAGGCCCGTAATCTGCCAGCACCCTATGACAAAATGGAACCCACCAGCAGTGTGAGGAGACCTGAAAGTGGCACATGGCAGAGTGTGGCGATGGAGACAGCAGCAATGGGAGGCCGTACAGGGACCCATGACACACTCTGGACCTGGCAGCAGCAAGAGGAGGCGGTACAGGGGCCCATGGCAGAGTGGCGAAGCATAAGCAGCTTAAATTGAAGGCCATACAGAGGCCTATGTTAAAAATAATAACATGTTTGGGGCATAATTCATGGCGGATTTATAGTCGACATACGGCTACGTTTACTTCCTCGGGCGGCTTGACGAAAAATTGCCACACCGCCGAGTAGGAAACTTTGCCCCCGCTACTCCTCACTGGCTGACTGCTACTTCCTCCGTGCACACCGGCACCACTACTGGCCGTGGTGGTAGGCTGCAGTGGAGCTGGTGCTCTACTCCGTGGCCGTTTGCCTCCACTGACACTGCTGCGACCCTGCTGCCTCCTGGGCAACCCACCGACTGTTTTGCTCGCTGCCAAGCTGCCACCCTCTTCTCCTGATGATGCGGAAGCAATAGCCTGATGACGACGAGGCTGCCAAGTGCGATCAGCCTCATCATCATCAATTAGGGTCTCCGCCTCACTACTAGCCCCCTCGGCTGCGTGTGGGTCAGGAGACAGACCTGTCTCTAGACCGGCTACCGAGCCACTCTCCTCGCCAGTACTTCTTCGCCTGGCTGCTGAAGAGGCGGATGTCTCCCCCCGTTCCTGACCGCCCTCTGTTAGCTCTTCCTCACTGTACAGTGGGGCTGAGCCCACAGCATGCGATACTTCGCTTGGTGAGGGAACACCAAAGGACAGGGGCAGGTAGAGGACACGTGATTTCAGTGGGCTTGCTCCCGGGCCATGCCAACTAACGGTTGTGTCTGACGTACCCACCGACCGTTGGCTGTAGGTGTCAGAGGTGACCTGGGAAGAGGAAGACGACCGAGCCAACCAATCGATGACGGCAGGGTTGTCGGTGGAGACACGACCGCTGGATGACACCGGGAGCACTGGCCTCTGGCTGCGACTAGTGCTGCCTCGACCCCTTCCTCTGCTGCCACGTCTGCTCGCTCCTGAAACATTGCCTCCTCTGCCACTCCTCTGCGTGTTGTCTGACATACTCTTTAATTCAATGATTCTGTGTCCCTGAGTAACGATTCTGTGTCCCTGAGTAACAATTCTGTGTCCCTGAGTAACGATTCTGTGTCCCTGAGTAACAATTCTGTGTCCCTCAGTAACAATTCTGTGTCCCTCAGTAACGATTCTGTGTCCCTCAGTAACGATTCTGTGTCCTTGAGTAACGATTCTGTGTCCCTGAGTAACGATTCTGTGTCCCTGAGTAACGATTCTGTGTCCCTCAGTAACAATTCTGTGTCCCTGAGTAACAATTCTGTGTCCCTGAGTAACAATTCTGTGTCCCTCAGTAACGATTCTGTGTCCCTCAGTAACGATTCTGTGTCCTTGAGTAACAATTCTGTGTCCCTGAGTAACAATTCTGTGTCCCTGAGTAACAATTCTGTGTCTGTCCCTGAGTAACAATTCTGTGTCCCTGAGTAACAATTCTGTGTCCCTCAGTAACAATTCTGTGTCCCTGAGTAACAATTCTGTGTCCCTGAGAAACAATTCTGTGTCTGTCCCTGAGTAACAATTCTGTGTCCCTGAGTAACAATTCTGTGTCCCTGAGTAACAATTCTGTGTCCCTCAGTAACGATTATGTGTCCCTCAGTAACAATTCTGTGTCCCTGAGTAACAATTCTGTGTCCCTGAGTAACAATTCTGTGTCTGTCCCTGAGTAACAATTCTGTGTCCCTGAGTAACGATTCTGTGTCCCTGAGTAACGATTCTGTGTCCCTGAGTAACGATTCTGTGTCCCTGAGTAACGATTCTGTGTCCCTCAGTAACAATTCTGTGTCCCTCAGTAACAATTCTGTGTCCCTGAGTAACAATTCTGTGTCCCTGAGTAACAATTCTGTGTCCCTCAGTAACGATTCTGTGTCCCTCAGTAACAATTCTGTGTCCCTGAGTAACAATTCTGTGTCCCTGAGTAACAATTCTGTGTCTGTCCCTGAGTAACAATTCTGTGTCCCTGAGTAACAATTCTGTGTCCCCGAGTAACGATTCTGTGTCCCTCAGTAACAATTCTGTGTCCCTGAGTAACAATTCTGTGTCCCTGAGTAACAATTCTGTGTCTGTCCCTGAGTAACAATTCTGTGTCCCTGAGTAACAATTCTGTGTCCCTGAGTAACAATTCTGTGTCCCTGAGTAACGATTCTGTGTCCCTGAGTAACAATTCTGTGTCCCTGAGTAACGATTCTGTGTCCCTCAGTAACAATTCTGTGTCCCTGAGTAACAATTCTGTGTCCCTCAGTAACGATTGAATGACCGGAGGCTAATGGAGAATTCTAAGATGGCCACGATTTATAGCTCCACCATTACACAGTGCTGGCTGGCTGGCTGCTGATTGGCTAATGCGATCACATGTCATGAATGAATGCATTATGGGTCAGCGCGCCTTGTCTGCGCGCCTTCCCAG